AGTTCAGACAGTTATCAAGCTGCAAATGCACATCTGTCATTTTACATTATGACTGATAAAGCTGCTTCTGGGTTTCAATGTTGCCTGCAACATGACTGAAGACCACCTCACCTTGAACTTCAGTGGAGAAGTAGCAATAGTAATATAATAGTAATCCTTGCATTGGATACAGCGCCTTATCACATCTTCGAGACGTCTCAAAGCCCTTCACAGAATACAGTGTAAAGTGAATTGACTGTGTGCGGAACGCAGCAGCCAATTGCGCACTGCAGCGTCCCACAAAAAGTCAGGGATTGAAGTGACCAATTTATTATTATTATTTTTTGAAAGTATTATAACCTGTGGAAATTCGATCCACCAATCGACTAACAACCGGGTTCCTATGAGCAATGAGACATAACATCACTGTACAAGAAGGCAGGTTTGACACTCCGTAGGGGTGAGCCACGTGCTGAGTAAACATGAGGCAACTTTCTGGAGAGAGGGAAAGCTAAAGGGTTGGCCCACTTGCAGCACTCGAGCACACATCCTTTCAGCTGCAGAGATAGGCAAGAGTTGCTACAGGCTACTGGATTGTCTTCTATAGGCATCTCCTCCTTATCCTTTGAAATAAGGGCAATCTTCATGTGCAATTCCCACGACATGTGATCTACTGCAGGAAGGGGAAACACCTATAAAATCGGTGCCACGGTGTCACAATTGTGCCTATTGTGTCTTATTCGGAAGTAGGTCCTTAGCCTTTTGACCAGAGCAGGCATAGAGACTGTGTGTGACCATGCAAACAATGTAAACACACAAACATTTAACCTGAAGAACTCCAAAATGCACCACTTCAGTAACAGTAAATAATAATAATAATCCTCGCATTTGATAAAGCTTGTTATCGCGTCTTCGAGACGTCTTAAAGTACTTCACAGAATATACTGTAATATGAAGTGACTGTGTATTTTTGGGCGAAATGTGGCAGTCAATTGTACACAGCAGTGTTCCACAAACAGTCGTGGAGTGAGTGACAAAATTAGTATTATTTTAGCAGAAACAAGAGCAGTTTAATAATAATAATAATCATTGAATTTGATATAGAACTTTTCACGTCTTCTAGACGTCTCAAAGTGTTTCACAGAATAGACTGTAAAGTGAATTGACTGTACATTTGTGGGTGAAATGCGGCAGCCAATTGCGCACAGCAGCGTCCCACAAACAATCGTGGATTGAAAAGATCAATTTATTATTGGTTTTTTTTGAGGGATGGCGTGGAGTAAGGAAACTCAACACAGGGAGGTTGAGTTGATTTCTAAGAATAGGTAAAAGCCCTCATTTAAAGTTAAAACATAGCAGGAAGAAACAGAAAGGAAATGATAATAGGCAGCTGTATTCTATACCTACATATTTATTTATCAAATAAACGGCCAACTCACAGGATGCTGCCTACGGCTCATATCCTGTAAGGGTCAAAAGTCATCAGCCATCACCTTCAGTTATCTGGACCACATATTGGCTGCTGCTTGTTGGCAGGTTTGGCTCTATCGCTGCTCTGGAAAAAGAGAACATTAGCTGGGTTCCAGACTGTCGAACCCTCGCCAAGTGCTGATTGATTTTCTCAAAAGGTCAGTCAGTGCTTCACACATCTCATCCCTGGTATCTTTTGGTGCCTTGGAGAAAGTTCACGGATCCTGTAGGATTTATTGTCCCATGAGCCTATACCCTCAACTTTCCTAATTTCCACATCCCAGGGATTACACTTGTATTGGATTTTGAATGACATATTATTTGTGCTCACAAACAATGGGAACAAACAATAATTTTTCATAACCTTTTAAAAAAAACTTCAGAAAGTAGCTATTTTACATTTGTACAGCACCTTTCATGTTGGGAAGACGTCCCATCGGGTCGGGGTAGGAGGGTGGCCAAAGATGCGGTCAAAGAGGAGGTTCTTGAGAGGGGCCTTGAAGGAGGCAAGGGAGGGAGTGAGGCGACGGGACTGTGGGATGTAGGTCCAGAGGGTGGGGGCAAAGAGGCTGAAGGCTCGACCGTCAATGGTGGAGCGGGACGGGCTGGGGACCTGGAGCAGGCCAGAGCCTGCTGAGAGGAGGGAGCGGACAGGTTGATACGGGGTCAACAGGTCACAGAGATAGAACGGGGCAAGCCCATGGAGAGCCTTGAAGGTGAGGATTTTGAACTCTATCCTCTGGGGATGGGGGGGGGGCAGTGGAGCTAGGCGAGGGTGGGGGTGATAGGGACACGGAGCCTGGAGCGGGTTTAATATAGTTATAACATAATATCAGTGTTAGAAAGTGAAAGTGAATTGAGAGTCTAATACTAATTCACCCTAGATCTAGTATACTCGGTACAATTATATAGCACTTACACCAGCGCATATGATGTTTAACTGTGGACAAAGAGCTGCTTGATAGTGTTAGATAATATTTTGCTTTGGGCATCACCATCTCCCGTGTAATTAGTGAAAGCTACCATCTGTGTGCCACTACAAGTATAAACAAGATTAGATGTAATTTTAATACATAATTAGAAAATAAAAAAATGACTGCTCCAACAGGACCCTGACTGCTGCACCGCTCTGTGTGTAATATGACACAAGCACATTTCAAACAGCAGAAAAGCCAATCATCAATAAAGGATAAATAAAATCTTGGGAGCTCATTACTAAAAGCAATCCATTTAAATTTGCAGGATGTTATTGTTTGAAAGCTGAAGAGTGTGCAGAGTCCAGTCATCTCCTATGAACTCGGTGCTGGTGGGGATCACCGTCTGAGGAGCCAAGTGTGAATCCCTGGGTATCTCAGCTCACGGTAACTCACCCCAGCACAGCTATCCGCACACCCCAGGTTTTAACAGGTCATCCACAATAGGGACTTCAGTTATCAGGAGGCTAGAGAAGCTGGATTATTCTCCTTGGAGCAGAGAAGGTTAAGAGGAGACTTAATAAAAGTTTTCAAAATGATGAGGGGATTCGATCAGGTGAACAAGGAGAAACTATTTCCTCTGGCGGGTGGGTCGGTAACCCGAGGATACTGATTTAAAGTAGTTGTTAAAAGAAACAGAGGGGAGGTGAGGAGAATTTTTTCACACAGCAAGTTGTTGGGATCTGGAATGCATTGCCTGAAAGGTTGGTGGAAGTCGATTCGATAACAACTTTTAAGAGAGAAGTAGATAATTATTTGGGGAGGACAAGTTTGCAGGGCTATGGGGAGAGAGCGGGGGGAGTGGGGTTGATCAGGGCTATGGGGAGAGAGTGGGGGAGTGGGATTGAATTGGAAGCTCTTTTCAAAGAGCCGTCACCGACACGAATGGGCAGAATGGCCTCCTTCTGTGCTGTAAAATCTTATGACTCTATGAATAACCTTCTACAGTCAATTCACTTTACAGTATATTTTGTGAAGCGCTTTGAGACGTCTCGAAGACCTGATAAGGCACTATATCAGATGCAAGGATTATTATTATTCTGTCTAACGTGACTTTATTTTTACTAGTCCGAACGAATCTCTCTGCACTGAGAGCGCTGGCAAAATTCCCACGCACAGTTACTCGTTACTAGTTTTTAGCAATGAAGTGATTGGGAATAATTTTCTAAATCCGTATCAGACAACGATCGATCATTTTTCCTGGCAGCTGTAATCTATGGAAAGCTCTGGTGACGACTTCCTGATGTGGCAAAGTGTAGCGTCATTGATGATGTGCACAAACCGTATCGGGCGCCTGTTAATGCACATCATCAATGTCACTACACTCTGTGACAAGAGCAATGTTTCACCCCATGCTGGCTAATCCCATGAGCTGGTCACAGTGTGAAGAACATGGGTCGCTGAAAGGGTTAAGCTGTTCCTATTGAAACAGAACAGTTGTTACTGTGTAATTAAAATTTCCCAATCGCTGTGCCAAATTGTAGAATGCAATGAGTGCACAATCAGGCCCGTGGGGAGAATGTTTGTGAGCAATATGTACTTTCATGTCTGTTAATGTCAAATTGCTTTTATCGCAACAAACCCAAAAATGCTGTCGGCATCACGGGCACTTGCTCGCTTGCAAAAGCAGGATAATACTTCAAACAGATGGTAAGCAGATTGGTAAAATAAAGACCCGGCATGCGGCAAAATATGTCGAACATTTAGATGCCACATACAGCAATGATGGGAGCAATGTCACCTTTTAACAAAACACAACAGAGCCGGGCTGTGTGTACCCACTCATTTATCTGCTGTAATTTTAAAAGCAGCATTCTACATCAAAAGGGACATTTTCTTTAGACAATACAATAAAACTATTGCAGCCTTCACCCAACTTAAAAATCATAACATTAAACACGTAAAATGCACGGGGACATCGATCACAAAGCACTGGGAGAAAGATTTTTTTTCTTTATAACATAACTTTGTTTAGATCAAAGTACGCCACTGTCTTTTCGCGGCCCGACACACTTTACCACCTCAGTCCCTTCCCTTTGATCTATTAATTAAAAATACTCCAATGGCAGGTGGCGCAGACGTGGTACAAGGCAAATTGGTTGCATCTCTTTCTTGCCAAGCAAAAAGCATTCAGCTCGCAATACCACTTCATTGTTTACAAATGTCAAAGAACTGGGAGGAAAGAAGTGGGAGAGAGAGAAAAAACAGTGTGCAGGTACAGCAAAGGTGATGGCTAGAGCAAATAATAACAGAATGAATGCATTTGATCAGAACAATGGTATTAATGGACTTTAAATGAAGGAGAATCTGCACAATCATGCCTACTCCAGTAAGACAGACGCACTCAGATTGGACCTGAAGAGGTTGGCAGAGAGCGTTGGAAGCAGTTACACTTTGTTTTCCTGCAATCCTGCCCCTTATTTTAGCAACACAAAAGCACTTTTTGAGCTCGAGCTACGTTGTGACAAAGCTGTAAAACTCAGCAATAACGGAAAAGAGGCTTCAAATCAAATTGCTGTAATGAATTTTGATTCAAGTAATAAAAGTGTGACGATATGAGAGCTGTGTAACACTAACCACATCATTAGGAAGGCTTTGAAGATCATCAAACGGTGTTTCCAATGTATTATTGTCAACGTTTAGTATCACCACATCTTCTAAGGCCATATTCCGGACTTTCTGTTGCACAAAAAGGACAAGAGCAATTTCTGTTAGTATTAATATTAATGACATTTAGAAGCCCACAATATGACTAAAACAAACAATACTTGAATCCCTATAAGTTTCCTTGTACGTTTACCTTGAAACAGTAAGACTTGCAGTAAGACAACACCGTTCTTCAGATGGTTTATTGATACCAGCCAAAGATTTAAGAGACCATTAACATAAAAATGAGCAATGTGAATAAGGTACCAAGTTAGCTTAGAAGAACATTAATTAGGTCCTGTTCAGGAATCCAGAGTATTAACATGCATCATCCTGATAGCAAACATGTCATTTGCCGGAAACATGGTCACAAACCGTAACCCTTAACTTCTGCCATTCAGAAATGTTTGTAGTGGAAAGTCACTGACATTATTGCTTTCATGTTACTCTGTGGACATTTCTATTGAGAACTGCCAGTTCCAGAAGTTAAGGCAGTAGATAGCAGAGCTTAACACTACTGTAACTGGAAAACAGACAGAGCTGTGGTTTGCTCCTGTGAATCACACGTGCGTGAGCTGTGTATCTAACATGGAGCGTGTGATCAGAGATCCAGATTTGCAGCCAGGCTACTGCTGAACACATTGTTTATTACATTGATAAATGTGGCTTACTGAGACTCACAGGCTTAATCAGGAAGGGCTGCACTCCCCGAGCCAACAGCGCTTTGAATTTTCAAAATGACACCAGCAGTTAAAATGCATTAACTTTTCAAACAAACTACAGGGGGCCTTATTCGCCAGGCTATTAAGTGGAAAGCAGTTAGGACTATTTGTCTTGATGGTATGTCTTTATAAATCCCTCCTTAAGATTGGACTGCACTGCACTGCTACCGGCTGTCCCTTGCTGGGGTGGCTGTCCACGTTTCAAGACAAATACAGACTAACATATCCTTTAGACCTTTGAAGTCAGAGAAGACTTGGAAGCTTCACAAACAAAAACCTAAAGGAAAAGAACATTTCAGACACAATTTCACTCCTCAAAGTCAACAAAACAGATCATTCAAAATTACTTTTTTTGGGGTGGTTTTTCCAACTTCTGGAGTTTCTAACCTTCTGTTTCAATGACTGTTGCCACTGAATGTTAAATAATAAGAATAATTTGGTCATTCAATCCATGACTGTTTGTGGGACACTGTCTGTGCGCAATTGACTGCCACGTTTCGCCCACAAACTACAGTCAATTCACTTTACAGTATATTCTGTGAAGCGCTTTGAGACGTCTCAAAGACGTGATAAGGCGCTATATCAAATGCAAGGATTATTATTATGTTTCAAGCGATTTGTGTAGTTTCTTTCCTGCAAGACCGGATCATGTTTTGCTCAGACACCGACCGATGTGTCAATCTGGCTACCAGAAGCAGGAACAAGCTAATGATATAAACTTTTATGATTTCGTGCCCCAGGAGCAGACAGAAGGATTTAATGAAATCTCCCTCAGATTTACAATCTGAAGCAGCTATTCCACAGAGAGATATGGTTAAGCGAGACATGTCCTCTGACCTTTAAACCGTTTGATCCTGGCCCAGCATGTGGGCCCCACCCCCTCCTGTGCATCGTCCACTTTCTTACCCAATTGTTACCGAGAGCTCTCGGCAGCCCTGATCCTAAGCAGGTGATTTGAGGGGGATATTATCATAAACAGCTGCAAGAAACTGACTGGTAAAGATCTGAAACTAACTCCACTGACTTGACAGACCTCCAACAAGTTCCCCTTTGATGGCCCAGTGAAGGGGCATTTTCTGTCGCTTATTTTTAAATTGAACATTTCCTGCTGATTTTTTGCGTACCCAGAAGCATCATCACTAGACTAAGGTGAAACGATTAAGGGCTATACAGTATATATGGTGCATGTAACACAGCCGCTACTGCACATAAACCAAGTGGCCAATTGGGAATATTAGCAACCACAAAAAGTTCCAAAAGTATAGATGAACGTGAAAGTCTGCTCTGGGAGGCATCGAGGCTCCTGTTGCTTTAGTTCTGTTCATTCGTCACGTGGTCAGCGTTTCACCATCATGATCATAAACAGCTACAGCAAGCTGAAGGACAAAGATCAGAAACCAACTCGATTGGCTTTACGGATATCCAAGCAATGTCCCTGTCGTAGTTTCCCCTTCTAATCCCAGGGAAGGCAAGGCATCACAGCCAAACCCAACACCGGCCCTGAGATGACAGGCTGCAGCAGGAGCCAGTGGAGACGCCCCCCCAACACAACCCTCCCCCCCAACACAACACTGATGGAACCTTCAGAACTTTGATATTAGCAAGGTAAAGGTCCCCAACAGTGAAGTGTAGTGACCGTGTATTTGTGGGCCACCTTTGAAGCCAATTTTGCGCCTAGCAACATCCCATTAGAAAGCTATTTTACTGTCATGTCTGCAAAGCACAAAACTACATTTACACAGCACCTTTCACATCGGACGGACGTCCCAAGAAGAGCTGGTCACTGTAACCTGCATTACACACCTCCACCTCCAGGTGTGGAAATAAACAACAGAGGTAAGAGCAGGTTAATGGAACTGAATGGACTGCTCTTTAAAAGAGCCAGCACAGACACAATGAGCTGCGCTGTTATCGTCTATGGTTCCATAAAGATGGTTATCTGCCTTCTGGATGATGTACAGTAGCTAAAAACTTACTTATTTACATGCAATATTTCTTCTCTTCAAATCATATAGAGAAAACAAGTCTGCCTTCTATGGACAAAATTATTAGTTCTGACCATTAAAAGATGAACAGGGCTCCACAATAAAGTGATGCAGCAGACTTATCCAAACAAAGCACGTCTTAGTAATATTTTGCTTCGCAGAAACTGGCTGATTAAATAGCTCTTTCCAGTTTGTAATATAAGCAAAGAAAAACATTGCCCGGAGCTAAATTGCATGCTCTTAGATCTACAAAAATATATTTTCAAGAGGATATGAAGGGTACTCAACTCATCTCTTTAAAGTTTGGCCCACAATGTGGCTTTGAACAGCGTTTTAGTCGATTCTAGATGCATTAATGAAGGTTTGGGAAGACCCTGATTGCTAATCTTATGATCTTAGAATGACAAAGGCACAAGAGCACATGAGGGGAGTGCAGAACAGAGTATGGTACTTTGGCTAAAATGATACTGGTAAGATGTGCAGAATTATTTTGCTTTCATAAACAAGTGGAAAAAAAGAGAGCTTAATAGAGACTCCACAATACAGTTCTTTCCCACCTGAAGTAAATCCAAATTTGGAAACTGCAGAACAATAACAGGCATTCACTGCAGTGATTCAGTAGGTTTTAATGAACCGCAGAGAGTTTCTACTCAAACCAATATGCAGGCTGCATAAGCAATCCAGCCGAGCACTGTCCCAGTCAGAACTCTCTGAGCACCTAAATACTTACTCTGATGTGGAAAAAAATCATACTTAAAAAATCGAAATGGATTTATAAATATGAAAATAATCCTTGCATTTGATATAGCGCTGTTCAAGTCTTCTAAACTTCTCAATGCGCTTCACAGAATATACTGTAAAGTGAATTGACTGTATATTTGTGGGTGAAACGCAGCAGCCAATTGAGCAAAGCAGGGTCCCACAAACAGTCATGGATTGAAGTGACCAATTTATTACTGTATTTTTTAAAAATATTTTTTAAATATTCTTTTCTTTTGTTGGAAGAAATCAATACCTGGGCTTCAAGAACATTATTTGAAATAATGAACTAATCGCAAGCTTTTATAATAATATAGAAAACGCATGTAATCTGTGTTGAAGGAGAATAGACGTACCTCCATTAAACTTGAATGTACTCCTATGAGGTAGGGCATTGGGGCACTGCAAACAGAAAACAAAATTCATCACAATTATTTTCATGCAAAAACATGTCAACCATTAACATGGGGAGGACATATCAAAGTGCCTTATAGGATTCACTATAGGGAGTAGACACTGGAGTATTTTTAGGTGAACTATAAAGACAAAGTTCCTGGAAACAATAATTATACATCCATCTTACATAGAGCAGGACTGTGAAATTCAGATCACAAGATTGGTTTGGATGAAGAAGAGCCTTTGGCCCATCTGATCTCCTTCTTCCTGAACACCCACCCACCTGGCCATCACAGCAATAAGCTGATACAGAGGCTTTCACATAAAAGCAAACTTGAACTCAAAAATGCTTTACCAAATATGATGATTCATATAGATCATCCAATTCAACAGTACAGATGACTATTGTAATCAATAAATCAGTTGAAATAACACTATAAATATGTCAAGAAATCATCAACTACATAATCGCGGGTCTAGGCTAGCTCGGGGAATCACAGTTGTCCCAATACATGGTGCCACTGCAAATGGGTGTTCAAAAGTGAGTTCAAAACCAACTGAGGATCTTACTGGCTCCACAATGTACGAGAGCCTCCGGAGTTTGCTTCACAAACTCTAACAGTCATCATTTCCACAAAATTAAACACTCCATTTAAAACTCTGGGATATTTACAGAACATCCCAATCTACATATTAATCCTGTTTCCCTTTCAAGTCTTTACCCTTTAAGTGCTTAACTAATTCCCTAATTAATTTAACACTGCTATTTATAACCCAATAGTGTAAACAGTTTAATTAAATAGTAACTCTTAAGCACTGAAATATATCTTTTTTGAATTTTTAAAAAAAAACACTGAACCAGGCAGTTTGTTTGCATTCCGATGTCACAAAGCTGTCTTTACGCAATAAAATATTTTCTACTCTGGACACAAAGTATTTCACCAACAAAATATTCTAAAGCCATTTACACGTTTAACGTTTAAATAGCTGATACAGGAAAGATGTTAATTCATGCAGCATTTTTTAGATTCGAATGAAGATTTTACAGATTTTATACCAGCAGCAGAGAAGAGTATTGAGAACTAAAGTGTTCTAGCTGGGTTGGTTCAAGTTGGTTTATTTCAGTAAAATGTACTGCAAAAGACAACGTATTTTGCGTATGGACTACAGAACTAAATGGAAAGTGCCCTTTCTTGTTATGCCAATTTTTCCCCAGGAAAATTATAAACGTTGATGAATTTTGGATGAAATCAAATGTAAAAAGCAGATTTATCTGAAGTATCACTCTCATTTTATCACAAATTTTACTTTCAATCCCTGTCACAAAAAGAACAGCAAATCATTTCAAAAGCTGTGCACACAAAAAAAACAATCTGCAATAATTAATTTGAAGCTGGCAGAGAACATTAAGCAGCACAAAAGTCTCACCCTATGGTTTCTTGACATGAAGTGCGTTTACTTTTTGTGTGTTATAAGAGTTCATATATGTGTTTGAGCTGCTATCCACAGGAATATTCACACATAATTGAGGAAAATGCTCTTACAGTCTAAATCCTTTCCAGCTAACATCAAACGAACATGTTTTTAATTAAGCAGATTCAGGAAAATGACAGCTCAATGTCAGAAGTGCAAGGCCCTGACCACTGCAGGAAGTCTCGAGACTGTGAACGGCTTGTCTGTGGAACTCTGGTCATTGAACTGCAGAGGAACAGGAAGGTAGCTTCATCTGAGAAAACTTGGCAATTTTTAACATGCTAGAAACAGAGCGAGAGGGGAGCAAAAACTGTCACACCTTATACTGAAAACTCAAGAGTTTTCCAGCTTAATTACCACAATCACATCTTCCTTTCAATCTCCAAAATTACCCTGGAAATTCAGCAATAAAAACAAAACTTCTCGCTAAGATGTCAGGCACACTCCATTCAGATGACAAACAAACTGGGGAAGTTTAAATAAAGGTTTAATAAATACAGAGGAGCTGGGATTTCACTGTCACTATGACACCCGGGGACATACACCTTGTGGGTACCTGAATAATGCGAGCAATTCTCTCCGGGACCTCTTTAGTCTCTCTTACTTTCCTCTTATTGAAACTGAGGGCAATCCAAATCACAACTCATTAATAGGGAAAAAATGAGGCAGTCTATACACTGCCCTTAATACAGTAATGAGCTCCGCTGTATACCAGCACAAGCTACATAGTTAGAAACTGTAAATAACTGTCCACACGTATAATTGGACCTTCAGTTTTACAGTTATTCTGGCTGCGGTAAAACCATCAACAACATAATCGGGGTGGGGCTGGGAACCAAACCATGACAGGAGGAAGCCCTTCAGGAAACAGGTCAATATGAACAGACCAGCGCTAGGCTTCTCTCAGAGTTCTCCACATCACGTCATGAAGTTCTAATGGGCAACGGTTGACTGTGGACAACTCTCCCCATTCAGATCCCATCAGCAGAGTCTACAACTGCACCCTGGACAACAACTATCAGATGTATTAAAATATATAAATGTCTCTTACAGACACTTCCCTTTTGAACTCACAGGACAGGGTTACCCTCTCTTCCTTTTCAAACAACAGTCCAGGAAAGCTTCTCTGTATGCTGTATGATCCAAACCTACGTTCAGAGTGCACTGACTGGGTTTGTTTTTGCAACATTAAGCTTGGATGACATCAAAGCAAGTTAGGGCAGTATTAGGTTAAGTCAAGTCAAACCAACCACTGAACTTTGCTAGTCACTGGTGACAAGTCAAATATCTATCTACACCCACAGAAGGAACAACATTAACTTCAAAACATCTTAGAGAGCTTCAAAGTTTTCAGTAATGTGTAGTGACTGTGTATTTGTGCACAGCAAAGACACAATTATACTTGATGAAAGAATGTGCCATAACAACGATCAATTACTAACAATATAAAACTCAGCTCCATTCGAATCTGTACACTTCACATGAACGTGCTAGAAGCAAAATAAATTCTGTCAAAGTCGCATCTTAATTAAAGCCTCGCTGTTGTGTAAAGAAGGTTTTGCTGAGATGATTGTAAAAGTCAGTTCTGTAAAGGTCAATCTCTTAGCTGCACATTAATGGGTGGCAAAAAAATACACTCTCAATTTTAACAGATTACCTTATTAAATAAATGTAATTAACAACAGTGGTTGTAATGGGCTTAGGGGGGAAACCTGCTCTTTTGGTAGAAATTGCAGAATTTTGTTGATGTAAAAGCAGCTGTGGTTTATTTTTAGAAAACACAGGTGATAAAATTGCTCCTAAATTAATTTATTCAGACAAACATAGTCTGTGTCTTACAAATTCTAAATGGGGTCATGTCACACTACATCAATCAGTCAGTTTGTTCATCTCAAATCGGTGTGTTCTTAATAAAACTCTCACCGCGTGATCAGACGGTTACTTTAAAGGTACATCGAGGAGTGGTTGGCTTTATTCCTCCCAAAGTAAACAAACACAAGGGTCAATCACGGTGAGCACATCTTCCTTTACTTTGAGCAAAACCCATGTGTTTGTTTTGTCCAAAGCGCACCTGGGCTGCCAGCAGCAGGGTTTAATGCTTTACCCTCTCCAGAATGCCTTTGTCGGAAAGTCAATGAATGCAATAATTTCTGGTCCCAAAGCAAAGGCTCTCGTGGCTTGCAGCAGTGTCCCTGGAACTCCTACCAGCATGCACCTGAAAGGAAGCTGGCAGCCACAACCCTTATGTGTTAATTACATATATGAAGCCTATTATGCAAAGATAGGGCACCTGCTGGCAGTGAGAATGAATAGAACCTGCCCTTCCTGAGCAGTGAGTAAATTGAAGGCTGATTTCAACAGGAGATAATAGTTTTCACATCACATTCCATGTATTGCTGAGACGGCTGTGTATTTAACATTTAAATCATCCATAGGGAACAGTCTCCTTCTATTTAAATGTTTCAAGCCCCTATCACTTCAGTTAAAACTCCAGTTATCCCTGCTGGCAACTGATTTAATGACGTTTCAGAGGTTGCAGGAGTAAATATGAGGCTAGATGCTGTATTATTGTTCCCCTTGAATTCGGAGTCCAATGCGAGAAGTGGCATCGTGGCAGTCACACCAGTGAAGAAGGCTGCCCTCACGAGGTGCTTCCCAATGGAATTAAAGCAAATTGGCAAAAAAGTATCCAACTCAATACTTGTGCATTTCTTTTGGTGAGCCGGGTGTCAGCCACATGCTTAAGTGCATCCAAACCAGACAGCGCTCGTCAAAGTAACAAATGACATCCTCTCTCTCTGTGACCAGGACTCATTGGGTCTCCTCGTCCTCCTGGACCTCTCCACTGAGTTCGACACAGTCGACCACGTCAGCCTCCTCCATCACCTCTCCTCCCTCATCCACTTTAGTGGGACCGCACTCACATGGTTTGAGTCCAACTTAATCAACCGCCTCTATTTCATCTCGGCCAATGGTTTTTCATCTTGCCCCCGCCCGGTCACCTGCGGGGTACCCCTTGCCCTCCTTCTTTTCCCCACCCCCCTGCTCCCTCTCAGCGATGTCATCCGCAGACACGGGGTCAACTTCCACATGTATGCATACAACACCGAATTCTACTTCTCCAGCTACGACTCCCAGTCCGAGGATGTTCTGTCACCTTGTCTGACAGACGTCAAGGGCTGGATGAGCGCAAACTTCCTGTAGCTGAACGCTGACAAGACGGAAGACCTCCTCACCAACCAGATCTCTCCCTAAGACTCACCGAACCTGTGAGCAACTTAGGGCCATATTCGATCCCAGCTAACCTTCGTACCCCACATACTGTCCCTGGTTAGGACCACTTTCCTTTACCTCCGCCAAATTGCCCGCCTCCAAAAGCTGCTGAAACCCTCGTCCACACCTTCATCAACACCCGCCTTGACTACTCAAACGCTCTTCTCACTGGTCTCCCCTGCTCCCCTATTCACAAAATTCAACTAATTAAAAACTCCACCGCTCACATTCTCACTCGCACTAAACTCCGTACCTCCATTACCCCAGTCCTTGTCAAACTCCATTGACTTCTTGTCACAGAGCGGATTGACTTCAAGATCCTCACACTTGTATATAAATCCCATCACTCCCTGGCACCCCCCCCCAATCTCTCCAACCTGCTCTCTCCCTATACCACCCCTTCACTGCCTCCACTCATCTTGCTCCGACCTCCTCGTCCCCTGTACCCTCCGCCCCACCATTGGAAGCCATGCTACGCCCGAAAGCTGCGGAACTCTCTCTCTCAATACTTTCGCCTTGTCCCTTCTCTCCCCATTTTCAGGTTGCACTCGAAGATCTTCCTCTTCGACTGTGCCTATGGTCACCTTCCCCCTCCCCTGACTCGGCATCGGGCTCTGCTGCGCTATATAAATGCAAGTTGTTTTATGGCAGATCAGTTACTGGGGCAGGGAATCCTCCCACTCAACTACTGTTAACCCTGCAAGCCAAAGCCCTAACGGGTAGGGTAGTCCTAGCTGGACAAGCAGCAGGAAAGCTTGCTGGACGGTACCCTCGATGGCAACCTATGCGGTTTTAGCTGGTTAGTCACCAGCAGTACCCAAATGCACACTCTGGGGCCCACAAGCCTTGGATCTTGCTAACCTTATTTATCTTAAGCAAGGTGATGGTTTCCACGTTTGTCAATCACTTGGCTGACAAAAATAAATGCTCCTATGTTGCATTAATAAGCTGTGTAAAGCATCTTGAGATGTCTTCCCAATATGAAAGGCGCTAATAAATATAAATCTCTGAGGTATAAATGTAAACTAAGTGAGGATTTACGTACCAGTAATTATCCAAAAATTGAACAAAGTGTCTTGAGCAGCTTTTCTGCAATGTAGAGTTAACTCAAGCAATGACATCAGTGGCTAAGGACAAGTCTCCTGGATCTGACGGCTCTCTGTGGGGTTTTGTCATTTTTTTTTCCTTTGGGTACGTGGAATCTGAATGCAGAACCCATCAGTCGCGCTCATCCAGCACAATGCTAAAGATTCCCTCACTCAGAGTAACTAAAGCCGATTTCTCCACAGCAGAATCTCGATTATCCATCACAATAGGGTATGTGAATAACTGTCTTCTGCCCAACTCCAAACAGGGATGTCCTCTGCCACCTCTTGCCAGTCTGTAGCAGTGGGGTTGGCAGATTGTCAAACACACCCAACCCACACACACACAATTCCAAACTCTATAAGATTGCTCTGTCAACCACACACACATTCAGAAGGCTGAGCTTTCACTACCTAGATTAGCCCAGAGGGCAAAACCATTTTTCAATAAGTTCATGGCATTTGGAGTCCTGTAGCTCAGTGGTTAGAGCACTCGCTTTGCAAGCGAGAGACCTGAGTTCAATTCCAGGCAGAGGGCGAAACCTTGGGCAAGTTTCCTTACTCCACACAGAGCCTAATAATAATCCCTCCAAAAAAACAAAAAACAATAATAAATTGGTCATTTTCAATCTACGACTGTTTGTGGGACATTGCTGTGCGCAATTGGCTGCCGCGTTCGCCCACAAATATACAGTCAATTCACTTTACAGTGTGTTCTGTGAAGCGCTTTGGGACGTCCTCCCGACGTGAAAAGCGCTATATCAAATGCAAGGATTATTATTATTATTATTATGGCTAAAGAATTAATCATGTCAATGTGCTTTTTTTCTGCAATAGAGATAAGGATACGGGGGGAGTGTGTCACCCTTCGGCCACACACCTAAAATCACTCTGTATCAGTCAATAAGTTACGTTATAAGGGCTTTTCTTTTTTAAAACAGAAAGGGCAGTGGAGTTACAAGGAAGGAGATTGAATGTATTTTTGTACTCTAGGAGGATCTTCAACTGAAACCAAATAGAAATGTTCAATATTTACACCATGGACATCACTTACACCACAGACATTTGGCTCATCATTTCCAGCTCGATGGAGCTTCGCAATGTCATCCGCAGACTCGGGGTAAACTTCCACATGTATGCGGATGATACACAAATCTACTTCTCCTCCTCCAGCTGCAAATCCAGGTCCGCCGATGTTCTCTTGGCTTGTCTGGCGGACATCAGGGCCTGGTTGAGCGAAAACTTCCTGCAACTAAATATTGACAAGACAGGAGCCATACTCATTGGCTCCCATCAACGTCTTCTATCCTGAGGCTCTGCCTCCTCAAACTCCCTGGCCTATCCCTTAGACTTGCTGAACCGGTGCAAAACCTAGGTGTCAGATTCAACCCACAGCTGTCCTCCCTTCCCTACATCCACGTCCTGACCAGGGCCATTTTGAATTAGTTGAATTTTGTGAATTTAGCGGAGCAGGGGAGACCAATGAGGAGGGCGTTTGAGTAGTCAAGGCAAGAGGTGACGAAGGCATGGACGAGGGTTTCAGCAGCTTTTGGAGTGAGGTACGTATGGAGGCGGGCAATGTGTTGGGAGGTGGAGGTGCAGATCCTGGCTAAGGACCGGCTGTGGGGTATGAAGGTTAGCTGGGGACGAACCTGACCCTAAGTTGCTCATGGGCTCAGTGAGACTTAAGGAGAGATCGGGATTGAGAGGCCTTAACTGCAAGAGAGAAAGCCTTGATGGGAGCCAAAGAGTATGGCTTCCGTCTTGTCAACGTTCAGCTGCAGGAAGTTTGCTCTCATCCAGGCCTTGACGTCTGTCAGACAAGGTAACAGAACAGGTGACTGGGAGTCGTAGCTGGAGGAGGAGGAGTAGATTAGTGTATTATCCGTATACGTGTGGAAGTTTACCCCATGTCTGTGGATGACATCGCTGAGAGGGAGCATGGAGATGGGGAAAAGAAGGGGGCCAAGGATGGAGCCTTGGAATGAACCCTGCTTCTCCCCTGTCCTCCCCTCTCCCTCACTCTGACCCTCAGCTCGGATCAGTAACTCTGTCTGTCCAGCGCCTTGGGACGTCCTCCCAACATGAAAGGCGCTTTACAAATGTAATGTTGTTGTTGTTTCCAACAACGCATTCCAGGGCTTTGGCTAGGAAGGGTAGGTTTGAAATGGGATGGTAGTGTGCAAGGTTAAAGGGATTGAGAGTAGGTTTTTTAAATAGGTGAGTGATGACGGCTGTTTTGAGGGGGCGTGGGACTGAGCCTGAGGAGAGGGACTGATTTATGGTGTCTGCCAGCAATGAGCAGAGGGGGAGTTGAGCAACCAGCAGCTGGGTGGGGAGGGGGTAGCAGGTGGTGGGTTTCATCGGGGTGATGGAGGATGAGAGGAAGAAAGAAGAGTAGGTTGGAGCCTGTGGTAGGAGCCGTGGAGGAGGAGTGGGTGATGGAGAAGGAATGGGGATGGGAGGGGAGAGACATGGGGCAGGAGGAGGAGGTGGCTAGGTGGATGTTATCTATCTTGGAGATAAAGAATTTGAAAACCTCTTCGCACTTCGCAAAGGTGAGTGTCAGTTATTGATTGGGTAATAAAGAGAACTTTATTAATTCCCTGCATTCAGCTTCTTCAGACACTCAAATAAGCACTCACCAGCAGTAGTCCAATAGATGTGGAGGGAGGACGGGAATGTAAACATGCTGCCAATACATCGGATACAGCATCGCTGCTGAGCCGTGGACGCAGGCCGTTAACTGAAAGATAAAACACAAATGCTCTTTGGTAAATTAATACCTCGATAGTGTAGCATGGACCCACCCAACTAGCCAACCCTCCACACAGAAATGATACCACAGGCAATAGATTATTTTCTATTGATACCTGCAGGAAGAAGTCATCATATGGCACAAGATTTCAGAGGATTAGCATAAAAGTGTAATCACAATAAACAATGGCTTCATTTCAAATGCATCAACCCTCCCCCACCCCCCCCATCCACTCTCAGCGACAGCTCATAGAAAATCTCCAGCCTAGCTAGCCCCGTCTGTTGTAATTATATTATTACCTGATCTCCATGGTTTCACTGGAGAATATTACGATGAGGACTTATGCTACAATAATTTTTCTTAACCAACAGTAGAGTTTGCCCACAGCTTCCTCCAGAGAGGACACCGCTGGGAGCCTGTGTACTGGGCCATGAAACTGAAGAGATTCAGTCTACTCTCCAGACATCTGTAAAAGCTGACAGTGTATCCTGCAAGCCTCAAAACACACAAGGCGCTGACTGTTCAATCACTGTCATTTACGGTGTTTGACTTGAAAACATCCCATCATTATTCATAATGTTACTTGTGATCTTAAGGACCGAATCTGACTGTACACATAACTGCTAGGTTCTGCGGGTCACGTACTCTTTTCACGAAATACAACCTCAAGCTACTGCAAGTATTTTTATTCCTCGGCATGCTCATTGCATTTAAATACAGTGGCACTGATCAAAAGCTTCAGTCTGAAAGCTACTCTAAAATTCAATGCCTTGAACTGAAAACTGCAAGTGCCATTACCCAATGCCTATTAATGACTTTTTAAAAGGAGCAGCTGTAGTAAATTTAGAGCTGCATTTTAGTCCCACTTTCTGAAGGCTATACTCCCAATACTGATTATAAGGAGCTGCTATTTCTCTGCAATGTTGCGATGCTCAAAACTCTGCACCTTAAGATCACAAGTAACATTATGAATAACGATGGTAAAACACCAAGTTAAATACCATAAATGACAATATAAAGATGGTACAAACATTAGTTTAGGCCACTCCCTACGTTTCTCTCTGCCTTTGCACAACTGGCATAAACCTTTTTTGTTAGACCTTGAGCAAGTGATAGGATACAGCGGCTCAGCAGCTCTTCATTCCTGTGACCTCACCGTCCACTGAGGAGTCGCTGAGATCATAAACAACCCAGGTAGAGAGAGTGTGCTCAGGCCAGAGAATCCCAAGTGTTCAGATGGGCAAGGATAAACAGCTCCAGCTTCACTCTTTGCATGTTTAAAAATCTCGATCAAATGTTTAAGTCACACTCTGGCCTTTGTAAACTGAACGTACAAAACCTTTCACCTCTATTAGACACCCATTGCTGTCCCAGGGTAAAACAGGTACAAATCTTACCAAACACTCCACCTGTACTGGAGACAGAAGGTAGAATATGTGGTGCAAATAAACACATACAGTAACATGGTTGAAATGATATTGACAAATTTCACTCAAGTATTTGACCTCTTCTCAAGCCTACAATGTTTTTTTGTGTTTGCCTTACCACCCCACATTATAGTGAAATTATAATTTCTCCCATTTAATATAATGATTTTTTTAAAAATTGCCAACTGCAGGAGAAATACGCTAGACGTGAGCCCAACGCCAGTAAAGGTCACCTTTGTTCAGCTTCAATGTGATATCCAGAGTGACCCCTCCAAACCTCACACAGCAAATCAACAGAAAATCACTTGGTGTAAATTTTGCCCAAAGTCTCCAGTCATTATGAATATTCATCACGGGGTAATTATCAATCTCTTTTAATTCCATCAAATCCACTTTGCCTCCAAGGGATCAGTACTCGGGAGTCCAATAAAGTTCATTCTATTAGTAAACTGGCAGCACAAAAGCAACAGAGGAACTCAATTTACACATTACAGAAATCTAACCTACATGTGCTTGTGTGATGTGTCTGGCTAAAGATTTCTTTAAATAAAATAAACAAGTCTCAACCCTCCACTCATTGATTTAAAAAAAACACATTTGTCTTATCGGGTTAGTCCACAAATAATTTAAAGTTCTCATATCCTCTCCTTTCCGAAGGGTGAAAACAGGAGTAACAGTGTTGCATTGACCTGTTATTTACCAACCATCCTTGATTATGGAAACCAAGCTCTGATGATAACTTTAAGCTACCAGCACCTTCTCTGTAGACCATGCCCTAATGAGCTGCTCCTGCTTGCATCGGAAATCCAACTTTCCAAGTAGTCTCGCAATTTTCATATGTCACAAAGCACATTGCATTGCATTCCATCAATGCAGTCAAGCAATGAGGTTCCCCACTTGTCCAGCATCAGCAGTGGGTGTGCAGCATAGCAGAAATAAATATGTCAGCCTGAGAGGAGAAGGGGCAGGCTTGGGAAGGAAATGTCAAAAGAAAACATAACCTAATTTATCTAACTTAAGAACCTTATTAAAAATCTCCTTGAAGTAGTTCTACCACGAAAAGAACAAGTTACTGTTTGCCTGTTTGTTACAGCAAAGCTGAACATTCTGAAGATGCAAACGTACTCAATGCCAATCACTGATATCTACTCTAACGGCTATTCTTCTATTCGGCTCAATCCTCATGCTTACCTGCCTGTACTGTCCAGACTGCAAGTCTAATCCTGACAGACACTGTATTGGGACATTTAAGAAAATAAATTCTCTTGTTGATTCAAATTAAACATAAAAACAAATCTAACAATGTCGGGACTTTGGATCAGGACAGAAACGGACATGGTTTAACCCTGCTTTTCCTCTAGGACAAATGCACATCATTACCATACAACACACAGTAGTTAGGTTATTTCCAAGACACAATGGCAATGGTTCCCATGCATTACTGATGCTTCCTATCCAGGCACCATCGCGGTAGTCACATAAAATTCATAGCCGTTTCCAGAAAGTCACTGCATCACAACCCTCTCCACAACCCCAGGGTCGATGCACATTCACATTATGCTCTCATGATGTGTGCATTATCAGAGCCTGTGCTAATTCTGTACCACACCATAACCAGTGCACGGTAACTTCAAAATTAATATCGGTTTAAGCAACTCAGCTCAACTTTTCCACAGTCCTCAATGAAATCAGGCCAACAACAACCTAAAATCTACACGTGTCTAAATGAGATTTCAGCAAGTAAAAGTTAATGTAAAGAGAACCAGAAGCGTATCGATAAAATTCTGTTCAGAATGCCTACTGAATTTTTCAAAACTTTTCTAATGAAGATTGAATATGTTAACAGGCATGTTGTGCAAATCTCATACCTGTGACATTGTAAGATTGGCAGGCCAACAAATCTATTCTAAATAAAATGCGTATGGAATTACAGCTCACAACGAACTGCACTGGATCCAATTACCATTTACAACGCAGACACAAACACTAGTTCAACTCATAACAAAACCATTTTTTTTCTTAATTAAGCTCATTTCCACAACACCATGTAGTCTCATTAATAGCAAGGCAAGTCTATATTGTAGGTTTTGCAGCATTCTCTTCATGCTGGCTGGCTGGCATGCAATGACTGCAAATGAAGCAAAATGGTTATGTATTGTTCAACTGTCTCTCAGGTAAAGGTGCCTCATTATTCCACAAAGGGTCACCATAATGCTTTACGCCAACACAGACCAGCATAATTTGTCAACACGTCCCGAGAGAGAGTGAACAGTTCACTGACAACACAAGCAATCAGGCTATGAACTAAACTATTTACTCTCAATAACATTCACCCATTTACTGAGTCCAAACCAATCAATATGTGCCATTTAATTGAATGACACTGCTGAAATGCCATTACATTTATATAATCTGCATTGATCCGTTTGCCACTCTGTAATAGGGAGATGGCGAGTTTCGTTAGGAATTGTAAACCTGAGAGAGAAAAAATTGAAAGTGCCGTTAATTAGCATGAAGACTGGATGGCCCAGAGATAACCTCGTTTACACCAACTGGGGCTTGTACTGACTGCTGTGCCTGATTCCAGGGAGAAAAGCCTTGGTTACGCCTTCTGTCAAGCATGGAGATAGCACACGTGTAGCATTCATCATTTGGATTAGTGATCACTATAGTGAAACCAAGCTGTTTATAATGAGACAGGCTGGTGATTGAGCAGCAAACCTCCAGGTGGTTTCCGGTTCACGAGTAAGAGCAAACTCATTGTTACAGTCTCACCAAGCTACTTATGAGAGCTTTCTCCACATACAGCTATTCGGATTTGGATTACAAAAACTAGCAGTCTCAGTCGCTTTTGTGTAAAGCAGAATTTCAGCCCTGATAAAGGAGTGAGCGCTAAATTCCGGCAATGAGGTTATTCATTTCATTTGATTCACTCGCTCTCATCTCCGTTTAATTGCTGTGAATGTTTCTCAGCCCTTCCCTCTTCCTCTGGGCTGAGCACTTGCTGCTTACTTAAGTCACCTGGAATCCAGGGAACTGTTTATCTCATTCTTCTGAAAGAAATGCTGTCAGGAGGTTGGAAGAATGCATAAAATAGCAACATTTTGGGGAGGCTCTATTTACTTGATGTACACAATGAAATAAGGCTACACTGTTCTTATTATACATTCCGGAAGCCATAATAGCAAGTCATATGGTGTAAGACAGCTGAAAAAACTTTTGGGAGTCTGAATATAATACTGTCAATGAAAAATTCATCAAGACTTGCAAACTTTTTTCATTATTACATTTTTGGCTATGAACCTCATAAACCCAAGTCATTTCTTGCAGTAATTTCTTCTTTGGTGTCACATCACTGAATTATCATTGCTTTATCATTGCCATGACTGGTTACTTGGGCAAGTTACTGTCATAACTAACTTTAGCCCCACAGCAGTCACTCAGCACCTTGAGGAGAGGAAACCAACCGTACAACAAGTTAGATTAGTGCATAAGATTATACTTGTGAACTCAATGGGGGAGCCATCTCCAGACATGTCAGAAAGGTGATTACAAGGCTATAATAGGTTGCCGGTTATCATGATGACCTTTAAAAAGCCATCTCATTGCTGCTACCAGGACCCGGAGTCGTGTTCCTGACAGAGTGCATGTTAATTCAGGTCCCTCACAATCATAATGACACAATCACTGAACTACTCTGTTAATCGGTTCCCACCGCAGATCTCACAGCAAAATCCTGTAACCAAAGAACAGAACCTCCAACAATGCCACGCTGCCTCAGTTCTGTATCTGAGGACCAGGTTATTAGCCTGTCCTGGTGTGAGGCTCGAACCTGAGCCCTCTGACTTGCTAAACCAGTAACCCAAACTAACTGGGTTGAATGACTCATTTAATCCAATGCTCCTGATCAGGTCATTACCTCATCATTTCCTTAAATGAACAGGAAGAGATTTAATATAAAATGGCCATGGATGGAATGACCTTTTAAATTGATATTTTTCAAGTACGTGAACTTGTAGTGAATGTTCCGACAATAAACCTGCACAAGTAAAATCGCTAACTTTGAATGATGCCAAATAATCATCATTGCCCCAGCCCCGTTCTCATCCTCTTCAGTAAATGCAGAGACCAGCCCAGTGATTTGAGCCTGGTGACCGAGAGCAATCATATAATGTTGTCAAACTCTCACAAACATTCAGCACTACTACAATCGCTACATTTCCACTCGCTTCGAAAGAAGAATGTTGAGAACAGCAGCAGCAATTTTATTAAACTTGCCAGTTCTACCCTCAAACTAAGAAAAGCTGCTGTGGAAATGCACAGGTCGTTTCCACACAGGTTCAGGATATCTGATTCAAACCTGCAGACATGAAATGACTAATTTACACTATGCAGATTGCACAAGCTGAACACTCATGCCTGCACAGTTTATGTATTCTTTGGCTCCTCCACCTATCGTGGTTTATTCTGTGTAAATCACCAGTATTCAATGTGCATCATTTATATATTCACTGATGGACACCTATGCGCCCCCACTGGTGACATGACCTAGATATTTTAATGCGATTACATTCAATGCTAGCATTCAGACACCAATACTGGCATCTGCATCCGAGCTGACACTGCATGTGCAGAATACACAGCATATGGCAAACTTCATATAGTGTGGAGTGGTGGTTCAAAGGTAATGAAGGAACAGTATGTTGTTGAAACATGGTAAGCTTTTATTTCTGGGTGGCTTCAGCAATATGGCTGCTTAACACATTGGTTTTATGCTGTTGCATCTTGCCTTTTAAGGGGAAATTCCATTATATTTTAACAGCTAAAAAAAGGCTTATTAAGAGGGAAAATGTTGACATTCTGTGTTCAGTGGTACATTGTAACAGTATTGATTAGTGCACAGCAAGTGTAGCTCAAGTTTGAGTGCATTATGTCTATAAGGTCATTAATGTGAAACCACAAGCAATCTTTTATCCTTCACCTACTTGATGGAAGCCTAAGTACTACTACAGCCCCGTCAGCCAAACATGAAGTAAATTAGATAGGATAAGAGTTCTTTATATGTGGTTGAGGTGGCAGATTAGTGTTAAAGGACTTAAGAGATACAAGGAAAGTACGACAGTAAAACTGGCTGGCCTTTGGAAGTGGCAGTGTTAAAAATTCACACCAGACATAGAAAATTACAGCAATAAATCCACAATTTTATGCCTAGCAAATTCTTGTTTTTAACATTTTATAATAATAATAATCCTTGCATTTGATACAACACCAAAGTGGAGTGACTGTATATTTGTGGCCGAAACTTGACAGCCAATCCCACATACAGATGTGGAGAGATCGACTAATTTTTATTAGGAGAATTTGTTGCACCCGTTATTCATATTCTGAAAAAAGCCTCCATTCCTCACACTGTATTATGCACACGTATTAAAGCATTATTTAAATTTAGATTGAATTCAAAGATCAGCAGTGATTTCTCCCCCCACAGCCTGTTGTTTTCAATGCTCTCGGGAACACAGCTGCCTAAACTTTGGAAAAAGTGATTGCTCAACATCAGGACAGGGTTGATAAGTGACTTAGCTTCCTCATATAGACAGAACCAGCGGAGCATTTAAAAAGTGAAGCAGACTGAGGGCAGGAAGGTATGAGTAATCACATTAATATTTAACACAGATAGATGTACTACAGCGCCCATCATTCCTCAAAACTAAACAAGGACAGAATCAATTAGTATAGAAAACAAAGAAGACAAATGATAAAAAGCATCAAATGTTTATAGAGCCCGAGACGGCTCAGTGACCTAGCAGATACATTCAGAAGCACTGAATGTTGTCAAGTTAAGGGGCTTTGATTTCCCATTTGGTGCCTGGCTAACGTCAGAGGGTCTGGGGAGGTGCTACCTGTAGATAAACACGTCCCACAAATGATGCAAATGAGACAGATCATTGGTCATCTATGTGCACCTGCCTCTTGTCATATTGCAGAGGAATGTCGGTGGGCTGGAGCAGGTGGATGTACACCTGCTCAGGGGTGGGAATGCAAAGGGTAACTTGCAGAGAAAATACCTGAAAAATTAAGCCAAAATGAACATTAATAATAAAGTGACCGAGAAAGCTTTTCACTCTGTCCTGTCGTTCCATTGCTTATACATGTACTTTGCTCATTGTATTCATTCCAAAGTTGCATTTTTACAGGACTGTATTTTGTTGACATTTCAAAGCACCTCCCGATTAATGCCAAGTCTAGTGACTGTTTTTACAGCGAAAGAAGGAAGACATTTGTAAAGGCTGCAGACAGCTTTCAGGTGAACGAATGATTAATTTGGAGGAATCGTAACAACGAATAGTTTCGAAATTTTTGATTGCATCACCTGCAAGACAAGCTGGATAAATCACATGTACATACAAATCAACATGTAGATGGTCGTGTCCATCTCGGTAGCTTTACACACAACTCTAGAGTGGCTTTGTTGGAGGGGACAAGGGGATTGGGAAGGTCAGAGCTCACTGGTGAGGACAGAGAAGCAGCTTTGAGCTATTCAGTGGTGCTCGAGGAAGCATTAAGGAACCTGGTGACTCCATATTCCTCTATACAGTTTGTACATTTATAAATAACATTCAGATATTTTTACAGATCCGTGTGCTGTGATAAACAAGTCCACTTGACAGTCAATGCTAGAGAGGGTTGCGGAGGTTGATGCCTCACTGCTGTCAGTACTACTTACACTGCTTAGTTTGCTGCAGGAGATGAGGATACGTCGCTCATACAGCATACTGGCATAAAGATGGAGCATGTTGTTGACATCTACAGCTACAAAATACTCTGTCAGGTTTCTCTGCAAAGAGAAAAAAACATTTGCTGAGTTTAAAGGAGAGGAGGCAACCAGGACAAACCCATTTCTTTGTGAAACGCAATACTAATACCAAGAGAAACACATCGTTAAGACAAAAGTAACAAAAGACGCTCATTTGTCAAAAGTCGATGTTTTTTTTCTCCTCTATATTTGCAAGACTGCAGCTTCACCCACACAAAAAAAAATCTTTGCTACAGATTGAATATTGTCCTGGCATACTGAGGGATTGCTTGTGAAGTTGGGTAGTATGCAGTTGGTTGTAAACTGCAGCCCACATACCCACAACCACCATTCATAAAATACAGCAGCTTAATTAATTACAAAACTGCCATTTTTAACAATAACGTGTAATAAAAAATTATTTATGAATACAACAGCTTCAACGGATTACTCACCAATTTAAATTCACACAAGTACAATTTGCACACGTAATATACGCTTATGAACGAGCAGAGAGCCCAGCAGCGTGAGGAGGGAACCGAGTGAGAATTCTGTTAAGGAATTTGGTGAGAGTAAGAATTCGGTGAAGTGGGGGAAAAGAAGTGCGTAATTATAAAATATATAAGTTAAATTAAAATAATATAAAACATGTCTGGGAATATGGCATGGCAGCTGAGACTGGTTGCATGCACAATGTGTGCCATGTGGGAACTCCAGGATGCTTTATGTGCCCTGGACAGACACATGTGTAGGAAGTGCCTCCAGTTTCTGAGCTCGAGGAGAGGCTGGTGTCACGACGTAGCATACGGGAGGGAGGCTGCAGAGTTCATCAATCGAATGTTTCAGGAGGTGGTCACCCCACAGCCACAGAGGGTTCAGACGGAGAGTGAGTGGGTGACCACCCAGTATGGTAGGAAGAGGCAGTACAAAAATCCCCTGAGAGTGGCACTCACAAACCAGTTCTCTGCATTGAATACAAGTCAGGGTGATGACACCTCTGGGGAGAGTCAAAAGCAAATGGATGCACAGGGGGACACAGGGAAGAGTGTCAATCCAATTGTCATTGGGGACACAACGGGGAAAGGAGTAGACTGGCATTTCTGCAATCAAAGACGTGACTCTCGCATGGTATGTTGCCTCCCTGGTGCCAGGGTTGAAGACATCACGGAACGGGTGCAAAATATTCTACAAGGGGAAGGGGAACATCCAGAAGTTGTGGTCCATGTTGGGATCCATGACGAAGGGAAAAAAAGGGCTGAGATCCTACAGGGTAAGTGTAAGAAGCTAGGGAAAAAGCTGAAGAGTATGACTTCAAAGGTGGTGATCTCTGGATTACTCCCAGTGGCTCGTGCAAGCGGGTATCAAAACAACAGGATCAAACACATGAACGCATGGCTGGAGAAATGGGGCAGAAAGGAGGGCTTCATCTTCCTTGATCATTGGGACAGTTCTGGGGCAGGTGGGACCTGTACAAGTTGGATGCGTTACCCTGAACAGGTCTGGGACCAACGTCCTCGCAGAGAGGCTAACTAGTGCTGTGGGGAAACGTTTAAACTAATTTTAAGAGGGGAAGGGAATCAGGATGTAGCATTAGAGAGTACAAACAAGTTACATAGAGGGCTGGGAGAGACAAATAGCAATGTAATCAGGAGTAATCCAGAAACAGGATTAGACAGGGGAGAATTGCAAATCTGCAGCAGGTTTCAGAAGTATGCAAAACCAATAGAGTAATGATAATGGGAAACTTCAATTATCCTGATATAGACTGGCAAAATAACAGTGTAAAGGGCAAGGAGGGGGAAGGATTCCTGTAATGTGTGCAGGATAACTTTCTGGATCAGTAAGTTTCCAGCCCAACAAGGAAGGAAGCAGCGCTGGATCTAGTTCTGGGGAATGAAGTGGGGCAAGTGGAATAGGTTTCAGTAGGAGAGCATCTGGACAACAGTGATCACAACATCATTAGGTTTAGAGTACTTATGGAAAGGGACAAGGAGCAATCACAGGTGAAGATACTCAACTGGAAGAGGCCAATTTCAGTGAGTTAAAAAGGGACCTCGCCAAGGTGGACTGGAAAGAAAGATTGGCAGGTAAAACAGCTAATGAGCAATGGGAAGCCTTCAAGGAGGAGACAGTTCGGGGACAGAACAAATACATTCCCACAAAGAGGAAAGGTAGGGCATCCAAACCTCCCAGGATGACTAAGGAAATTGGGATTAAAATAAAACAGAAAAAGGAGGTTTATGATAAGGAGGCGGCGAAGGCAATGGGGGATAGAGTTCCAGAGCCTCGGGGCTGAGAGGCTGACGGCCTGGCCACCGATGGTAGGGCGGTTGGGGCGGGGGATGTGGAGCAGACCAGAGCCAGAGGAACGGAGGGTACGGGCAGGTAGGTAGGTACTACTGGATAGTAGGTCGGAGAGGTAGGAGGGAGCGAGGCCGTGAATGGCCTTGTAGGTGAGGATGAGGATCTTGAATTCGATCCTCTGGGGGATGGGGAGCCAGTGGAGGTTACTGAGGGAAGTAAGAGTGGATATAATGCAGGCTCTGGCCATAATCTTTTAATCCTCCTTGGACAACAGGGTGATGCCAAGAGGACTGGAGGGTTGCAAATGTTACTCCCCTGTACAAAAAGGGATAGAAGGATAAACCAGGGAACTATAACCCAGTCAGCCTAACGTCAGTAGTGGGGAAACTTCCAGAGACTTTAATCCGGAACTAAATAAATTTCCACTTAGAAATATATGGGTTAATAAAGGACAGCCAACACGGGTTTGTTAAAGGCAAATCATGTCTAACAAACCTGATAAGAGTTTTTTGATGAAGTAACAGAGGGTGAATGAAGATTGTGCAGTTGTTGTAGTTTATATGGATTTTCAAAAGGCGTTTGATAAAGTGCCACATAAGAGACAGAAGCCCACGGTATTAAAGGAACAGTGGCAGTGGATACAGAACTGTCTGGGAGACAGAAAGCAGAGAGTGGTGGTGAACGGTTGTTTTTCTGACTGGAGGGAACTGTGCAGTGGTGTCCCCCCCGGGGTTGGTGTTGGGACCACTGCTGTTGTGATCTATAAAAATGACTTGGACTTGGGTATAGGGAGTGCAATTTCCAAGTTTGCAGATGATACTAAGCTGGAAAAGTAGTGAACAGTGAGGAGGATAGTAACAGACTGTAAATGGACATAGACAGACTGGTAACACGGGCAGACACGGGGCAGATGAAGTTTAATGTGGAGAAATGCAAAGTGATGCATTTTGGAAGGAAGGATGAGGAGAGGCAATATACGGTGATGGTACAATCTTAAAGGGGGTGAAGGGACAGAGAGACCTGGGGGTCATATAGTAAATCTTTGAAGGTGGCCGGACAGGCAGATAAAGCTGTTAAAAAAGCATATGGAATACAAGGCTTTATAAATAGGGGCATAGAATACAAAAGTCAGGAAGTTATGATGAACCTTTGTATAAAACACTGGTTAGGCCTCAGCTACAGACTGTGTTCAGTTCTGGGCACTACACTTTAGGAAGGATGTCAAGGCATTGGAGAGAGTGCAAAGGAAATTGACCAGAATCGTACCAGGAATGAGGGACGTCAGTTATCAGGAGAGGTAGAGAAGCGAGGGGTATCCTCCTTGGAGCAGGGAAGGTTAAGAGGAGACTTCATAGAAGTTTTCAAAATTATGAGGGGATTCAATCGGGTGAACAGGAGAAACTATTTCCTCTGGACGGTGGGTCGGTAACCCAAGGATACCGATTTGTTAAAAGAAACAGAGGGGAGGTGAGGAGAAATGTTTTCACACCGCGAGTTGTTGGGATCTGGAATGCATTGCCTGAAAGGCTGGTGGAAGCCGATTCGATAACAACTTTTTAAGAGAGAAGTAGATAATTATTTGGAGAGGATAAGTTTGCAGGGCTATGGGGAGAGGGGTTGAATTGGATAGCTCTTTTCAAAAGGCCGGCAGACACACGATGGGCCAAATGGCCTCCTTCTGTGCTGTATAATTCTATGATTCTTTTAAAAGGTACAAAGAACTTAGAAAGTTTACATGTAAAAATCCTTACACTCCTCATGTAAAAGGAATATTTTAGTGAAAACATGTAGCTACAACTGCAGGAAAAAGTAATTTAATATTTCTTCTTAGGAAGGTATAATTGATATGCAAAACAAAACAGGTCAATGATGTGCTTTTCAGCTCAATCTCCTAATGCGCTATGGTGGCTATGATACCACAGATGGCTCTGTGGATTGAACTGGAAAGAAGCAAGTAGGCATAAGCCTCCACGAGGTGCCTGCCACAGCCACACTTTGGTTGGAGAGGAGAGGAACACTTCCCCGACACCATACAACTCGAGCTACAAGTCATATTTGCACAAGCATCTTTGCAGCACAATGGGATGGAGGCTCAGTGTCCAGGCTGAGATCCAGCCATGAAAGATGGGAGTTAATGTTCCATTTCTCCAGTTGGCTGAGGTGAAATTAATTTGCCCTGTTCTAACCAATTGTCGTTGGGTCGCTGTACACTACACAAAACTACCCAGGGTTTGACACAAACTGCAACATGGTCTGTTAGTATGGCTTGTTACACTTGTCACCTCATGCAATTTGCCAGAAGAAAAGGGGATGATAAGCACTTGCAGAATGGAGAGCTGTTTTGCTTTATTTCCAGCTTCCATAAGAGGAAAGTAACCCGCCCCTGGCTGACAAGTGGAATTGTATAGCCACTTCTTACACATATCAGCTTCCTCCTCATGGTGTCACAGTAACTTTGTTCAACAAGGATGTCAATTCAGTGGTGTGGAAATCGAAAGAACAAGCACCTCCAGGAGTTAGATGACATGAAGACAATCAGGAGCTTACTCTTCGCTTTATAAACAAGTCTGGTGACAACGATCCACCACAGTAAAGACCTGAAACCACAGCTCCAGCTTCCAACAGGCGATCCTGGGCTGTCACTGAAAATCACCGCTCAATTTAAACATGCAAATACCGTGACATTGTCTTGTCTGGTTCTGAAGGCAAGGTGTCCATATTCTCCATAGCAGGGCATT